TACGAATAAGTCAATACCACCATCGGCCGGTCCTTTGCTATATAATGAGAGCATAATGAGTGAATGTGTCATAATCATGTACATATAAATTGGTTTTTAAAATATTAACAGAATGACACAGTTTGAAAATCAAGATTACGAGTTTGCTGATATTATCGAAAAATGGTTCAACGACACTATCAATGCAATCAACAGACGACATAGGCCATGTTCTTTGTTACTGGTCGGTGAAAATCACGAAAGTATGCTAAATTGGGCTCGTAATCTGGGACGTCATATCTTTTGGCAAGGCAGAAAAGATCTCCGACAATGGGATCCAGAAGCCTATTATATTATTTTGGACAGTATTGAATGGAATGATAAAAAAGTCAGGGAGTTTAAACCTTATATTAAATGTGAATGGCAATTTGGTGATTGTGATAGATACAAGTGTAAAGTTGCTCAATATTATGGTCCAAAGGCATGTATTATTTTAACTAATCATTTTTACGATCCGATTAAGAGGATTAAAGATAATATTCTTTTAGATACTATTAAGCGTAACGTTGTTAGGGTAGATATCGGTGATAGAGAATTGATTTTGTAGTGTTGTATTATTTTACATATCATGTCTTACCATTCTTCCAGATAATAAAATCTTCTGAAAGGGAAGGTCTTCACCCAAAGAGAATTCAAGGAAGTCTGTTAATACAATTGGAACTGTTTGTATTTCATATCGTTATGTTCACAGCTTAGAATGAAAAGTCGCTTGAATGGAATGCAGTGCGTGCTCAATCTTACAGTTTCAATCAAACCGTTTTCAGGGATGCTCACTAGCAGTTTTTCGCAGAAACACAAACTTTCACAGCTAATGTCAGTATTAGTATACAGAAACCACGTGTTATTATTATGAAGATATTATTATTATATCTACACTTTCATTCTGTTTGACACAACCGGTCTCGCTTTTATTATAAAACAAAGCAGCCAATTCTTCGTTCTAAACCCGTATATAATAATGTGTTAGTTGAACTCTTTCAAATACACTTACTTAATGCCTCAGTGTTATTAAAAACATGCTTAGCATAAGATCTACTTAGAGACTATACACACCAGGTGACCATCACTTTCAAAACAAACTTAAGACTCATTCATTCTCCAGACCCAATCGCTGAAATAATTATTCGACATATGCGGTTATCTATATGTGGTCTTCTACGCCATATTTGGTATGCGGTTTTTAGAACGGATACAATTTGATAATTTGAATTTTCGGTTTATACTGAAAAGTGGGGGAATCTTACCTACTAAGATTATCAAATTACGCATCGCGCAGAAGTTTCCTATCATCATTTCAGAGTAAATAGTAAGCCCGTGAGCTGTGAGGCGTACAATCTTAAAGGCGTATCTCTCAATAATCGTTCATTAAAATTTAATAAATACTAATGCAATTTTGGTGTCATTTAATTATACAGTGACTCGAAATACTGTAAGACTTGAATTACAATAAATACTCTGTGAATTATCGTTTCATTGTTTCATGATATGTTTCTATAATTAACTAGTATATAAGCACGTCGACTCATTTCTGGCTTGGCGAAACGCTTTGTTTACGTATATGTTCATTCTATATTATCCCCTGCGACAGAATACCAATAACGATGACACTACTAGTCATGGTCATTAATGTGGTGTAAATCATCGATGGACCGTCTAATCGTAAACCATCCGAGTGGGAACCACCTGAAGAACCACCTGAAGAACCGCCCGACGAACCGCCCGAAGAACCATCCGAAGAACCGCCCGAAGAACCGCCCGAAGTACCATTCGAAGTACTACTAGAAACTGAGATTCCTAATTTGGCGCAATCACCTTTTATGTCTGTAGCAAAAGATCGAGTTTGAAGGAGACAGGAAAGAGAAATAACAAGGTGTGGAAACGGAGAATAATAGTTTGGTCAAATCTGACAAGATGAATTAAGACAGTTTAAACCTAACCAGGCAAATGAAGATGATCGTTCACTCACCCGCCACCTGCGCAAGACCTACTGTCGAAAGTCCTTTGGAATTGAAACAGTCCAGGCAACTATCAAGAAATGAGAAATGGTTAGAAATTGAAATCAATTGTAGTTTGCAATTCGATCAGTCGTGGAATCCTCATTGCGAGTCGAGTATTCAATTGCCTTCATGCGCACCCCTTATTACTTATCCAATGATCACTTCTCTTTTCCCGTCACCTCTCCACATAATCTCTCACCTTTGGTAAGCAGACAAATACGATTGCGTACACTGGCATTTTGCCAACACTGGGTCTTCTATAAACCTTGTGGTTGCAACCCGATTGTCCGTACCTCCCGGAAAATTAAGGCACGGTGCGATTAGAGTGACCGTCGCTCCGCAGCTTCTACTATCGCAGACAACATCAGCGGATATAAGAGAGGGAATGAAAAGGAATAAGAGAATAAACAAATGCGGGGTGAGAGCCGGGAGGCGGAACGAATGCGAAAAGGTGTTGAATGTCATAAAAGTAAATATTGAGAAGGATAGGACTAACTATAACTTACTGAGCTAACAGTAAGTGACATCTTAGTATTAGGTGCAACACTAATAAAGTCGTGTTGCAATTCACTGCGACTTCTTGACTGTAACCCCTGCTTTAATGTGTCACCCGAGGTTTGTAAGGATCCGACCAGCCAATCAATTTAGCGCATTCATTGAGAAGGGGGAAATCAATTAATTGTATAATAAAATAACCATGTTGTTTTTCTACATGGAAAAAAAGTATACAGTCGACCTCCCATACAGACCAAAACCAGTGACTCTAAGGAATGAAGGGATAATTAATAGTAATGTGATCTATAAACTAGATGTAGATATCAGTGTATTAAGCATTTCTCTTTATTAGATAAAATTCTGCATCACAGTTGAATGATCTATACTGAGGTTAAATTTCTCATTGAAATAGTGGGAAATGTCAGTATGACTTAAAGTAGGATGTTGCCTCGCATATTTACAAATTTCGCGTTTATTGTCAATATTATCAATACTCAATTGTTCGTTAACATTGTAAAAAGCTATGCGATGTTTTGTCATTGCCTCGCTGTCTACATAAAAAATTATAGTTCTTCGACGGCATACCAATTACATTGATAACAACGAAAGGCGGTATGATACATGTACAATAAAGATTGTGGGTGTTGTTAACTATTTATTACCTTGCTGCGCCGAAAGTATGACCCTGATACGTACGTATAACGCAGGCGCTAGCATTACCTTTATAGGATGTAACATTAGCCAAAAATTGTCACACAAACCGATGTGACAGAGGGTTTCATTATGATGGGAATCCAAAATCGGGTGATTGTAACTAACACTATGGAAGTGATTGTGTGGGAGGAAAATTACTAAGTCAACTGTATCGAGTTCACTGTATACACACTTTTACTTCAACCATAAAAATTTATTACCCAATGCCACTAGCAAGATATAGAATTGAGTTCTTTCAAGCACTGCATCATGATCTTAATGTTGATTCGAAACTTTAGTTTGTGAATCACAATTCTTTCTTTTGCCTACCCATTGTACGTAAAATAAATGGCGTAGATCTCATTGAAGTCCTTTATAAACTTCTCTAATGTATCAGGTCAAAAGCAAATTCTATTTATGTCAAAAAAAAAAGTCATTTTGTTTGTTATTATACAGTCCCCGTCGCGGTGACAAGCGTTTATAAAAATCTGCGGTTATTATTGTCAGTTATTTAATACGTCAGAAACGATTATCATCAATTACCAGTTTCATAAACTTTAGATAATTGGTTCTCAATATTTGCTTTGTAATAAATAATATATTCTATTTTTCTTACATATTCAAATAATCAAGACTGTTAATAGTAGATTTGTTTCGGAACCTTGTTAACTCAACCATATTGACATTATGTGGAAGCATATCATATTTAATTGGTAAAGGAGTAAACCCTTGAATAAAACTCGTATAAACTGTAAATAACCCGCGAATTCAAAAAAGAGGTTGAGTCTCTAAATTATAAGAAATGGACGATGTTAACATTGTAAATTGACTTCATTTGTATCAACATATAACTGCATACCTGCGGCTGAATCCAAATCATAGCTATTT